AGGTTGCGGAGCCATCTGCGCAACGCCGGATATGACGCCGCTCGACCGCCGCGCGCGCCCCGCGGCAGGGTGATAGAAAATCCGTCCTGGGTCGGCGAGTGGGGAGGGTTCGTGTCGCGCCAAGGCGGGGGGCTGCTCAGGTCAGATTATTTCGAGACCGACATCGCCGAACGCGACCCGGGCTCAGGTGGACTGAGGGCGACCTCGGCGGCACCCTACCTCTTAGCGCGAAGTCCAACCCTCGAGTTGCCGATTGGCCATTTCTGTTTGACCTTCATCGGCTGGGCCGAAACGAACGCGCATGTGCGATGTGAAGCGCGTGGGTTTACAGGGGCCCGCGACCATCACAGCATGGCCGTCTCGACGCGGTCGGTGTCGCGGACGCAGTCTGATTCCGAGCTGGGCGTCCTGGAATTCGTGCTTGTCGAGCGCGCGGCTGATGTCGTCTTCTCGGTAGAAGTTTTGAAGGCAGACGGCCCGGTCACGCTGACTGGCATGGACATCCGGCGTATCGACGATTGATCGTGGTGCGGGTTGGCAGCGGCTCGCCGGCCCCCTAAAAGCCCCGCGACTTCCTTAAGTACCGCTACAGGCAGGACATCATGACCAAGAAATGCGCCGTCATCACCGGCATCACCGGCCAGGACGGAGCCTATCTGGCCGAGCTCCTGCTGAACGAAGGCTATCGCGTCGTCGGCGTGGTGCGCCGCTCCAGCCACTATGGCGTGGCGACCCACCGTCTCGACTGGCTGGGGATCACCGATCGGGTCGAGATGATCGACGGTGATCTGCTGGACGTCAGCGGCATGTGCCGGATCATGCGCGAGGCCAAGCCGGACGAAGTCTACAATCTGGCGGCCCAGTCCTTCGTCAAAACCTCCTGGGACCAGCCGCTGCTGACGTCGCAATCGACCGGCCTGGGCGTCGTCAACATGCTGGAAGCAGTGCGTCTGGAGGCTCCGCAGGCGCGCTTCTATCAGGCTTCATCGTCCGAGATGTATGGCCTGATTCAGGAGCCGATGCAGACTGAGAAGACCCCCTTCTATCCGCGCTCGCCCTATGCGGTGGCCAAGCTGATGGGGCACTGGATGACGGTGAACTATCGCGAAAGCTTTGGCATGCATGCCTCTTCGGGAATCCTGTTCAACCACGAGAGCCCGCTGCGCGGCCTGGAGTTCGTGACCCGCAAGATTACTGACGGTGCGGCGCGCATCGCCCTAGGCAAGGCGACCGAGCTGCGCATGGGGAATACCGACGCCCAACGCGACTGGGGTCACGCCAAGGACTATGTCCGCGCGATGTGGCTAATGCTGCAGCAGGACAACCCTGATGATTATGTGGTTGCAACGGGTCAGACCACCAGCGTGCGCCGCTTCATCGAGGTCGCCTTCGCCCGCGTCGGCCTGGATCCGGACAAGTACATCAAGACCGACCCGGCCTTCCTGCGCCCGGCCGAGGTCGATGTGCTGCTCGGCGATCCCTCCAAGGCCAAGACGGCGCTCGGGTGGCAGCCTCAGATCAGCCTGGACGAGATGATCGCTGAAATGGTCGATGCCGATATGGCGCGTCTGAAGCGGCAGGGCTGAGCCAATGACGCTCTTGGGGCGTCGAATTCTCCTGACGGGGGCCGGCGGATTCGTCGGCCGCCGCGTCCACGCCGCCCTGCTGGCGCAAGGCGCATCCGTCGATGCCGTGATGGGGCCGGGGGACGCTTCGGGTCTCGATCTGGCGGAAGCGAGCGTGACGCGTCGGCGTGTCGAAGCCTTCGCTCCCCATGCCGTCCTGCATCTGGCCGCCGCGTCCTCGGTGGGCGAGGGGGCCCGCGATCCGGCGTGGGTCTGGCGCAACAATCTGGATGCCACGCGGGCCCTGGCCGAGGCGACCCGGTCCCTGCCGGAGCCGGCGCATTTCGTGTTTGCGTCAAGCGCCGAAGTCTATGGCCGCGCGTTTCTGAACGGGCCGTGCGACGAGGCGGCGCCGCTCGCCCCGGCCTCGACCTATGGCCGGACCAAGGCGGCGTGCGAATACCTGCTGACCGATCTGGCGGGCGAGCGTCTCCCCACGACCATGCTGCGGCTGTTCAACCATACGGGGCCCGGCCAGGACGAGCGGTTCGTCGCCCCGGCCCTCGCCCGCCAGATCGCCGGGCTTGGAGTCGATGCGGACGGTAGAGGGCGTCCGGGGACCATCCAGGTTGGCAACCTCGACGCCGCGCGCGACTTCACCGACGTCGATGACGTCGTGGATGCCTATGTCCGGGTGCTGCAGGCAGGGCCAGCCGACGGCGATCTGGTGACCTACAATGTCGGCTCCGGTCGCAGCCGTTCGATCCGTTCGCTGCTCGATCGACTGATCGCGGTGCATGGCGTCCCGGTCGAGGCTCAGGCCGATCCGCGCCGGATGCGTCCTTCGGACATTCCTCTGGCCGAGGGGCGGTTCGAGCGGTTCCAGGATCGGTTCGGATGGCAGCCACGGCGCGCGTTCGACGACACCCTGGCGGCGCTGTTGGCCCATGAGCGCGCAAGCCTGGCGGCCAGCGAACGGACGTGAGCGCCGGGCGAGAGGCCTTCGATCGTCTGTTCATCGCCTGGCGGTTCGGTGATCCCGTCGCGGCCACCCAGGCCATT